TGCGAAATCTTATTATACTTAGGTCCCTCAACGTACGTATTAAGTTAACAAAGGTAAACTATGAGAATTAGTCAGATTTTCATAACTGCCTTTTAACTCTTTATTGATCACAAATAAAGAGTAAAAAAAATAATATTTAAACTTATACCTCATTCACGATTTTATTTTAAATATTATAAAACAACCCTTTTTTTATTATTAAATCGTACATTCAAACTATATAACAATCGAATATAATTCGCTTTAAGCATAATTTTTTATTCATTGAAAAATTATTTAAAAAAAATACAACTTCAAAGTTTGAAACTCTAAGAATTATTCCTCCACCATAATTGAATAAAAGATAAGAGTTTAATGACACATTAAAAACAAACTAATAATCCAGCATAAACTGATCAAATAGTGCTGTAAAATAAGTCTGATGCAAGAAAGCGGGGAAAAGGAGATCACTGAAGTTTTTCGGGGTCGTAGATCCCATGTATTTAAAGAAAGCAAACCCTTTAAGGGATTGACACAGGATAAACAGTTGTTTTTTATTAAACATAACTTATCTAAACTATTTCTAATGAACTCAAGGCAATATAATATAAATCCTAATTTCAAGCTGAAATGTTTGAATTTCATTAAAAAACTTTAGCAATAATTGAAATAAGTTATCATACAGTATGCAGTTTGAGCAACTCTAAATAGATTTTTTTTTTTTTATAAAAATGATTACTGAAATGAAATTCATACTTATAAATTTTATTCAGGAATTTATGTACTACAACTGAAATAAGTTTTAATTTATAGTGCAATGCACGAATTCATAAAATAATTTGAATAAGTCACCCGTAAAAAACCTAAATTAATTTTGTATAATTATGTAAATGAAAAATTTTCAAATTATCCTACAAAAATTCCAACTTTGTTAAATTTCTCCACTATTTTTTAAACTATTCAAGGACATTTAATAATGATGGCCTCTATAATCGGAAGGATAGTCTAAAATATTATTGGGACAAAAAATAAATATTTTCAAGGCCTTAAAAAATTAAAGCAGTAAAAATAATCTGAATGTTATACGTAGACTGTTGAAAAAAAAAAATATTAATATACCAACAATGTCGAAAATCAACAATGTAATACATATTTCCATTATATGATGTCGCCCAAAGAATGATGTCGTGACAATTCACGATATTTGACGCATCCTCTTATATTTATGATCGCATCCGATTCACTAAAAATTTAGGTTATAACGAGTTAGAAGAACAAAACTCGCAAACAACTTTAAAAAGTAGGCTAGCTAATAGAAAAGACTGAAATATCGTGTAAATATTTTTCGTGTAAGCATTTTTTTATTATTATTATTATTACCAATGGAATGCCAAAAATGGCACGTAACCGTAAACTAATAGTGAAACNTAATGTTTATAAATCTAGTTTTAAATAATTCTGCGTTCAGCAGTATAGGCTAAATACCAAATATTTGTATGTTGCATCTCTAATTTAGCAATTGTTGTTTATTTTTTAAAATTTCATTTTTTTAATTATAATTTTACAGTGTTGAGCATAATCTTGTATGTCTTAACAATTTAAAAACTCCTTGAAAAAGTTTTTTTTTTTGTTTTGCAATAACGGACCCTATTTGCACAAATTCATAAAAGCGGACCCTGATTGAAAGAATGTGAGTAATTTTTTCACAATTTAACGAAAAACGGACCTTTCACAAAATGCCTGGACAGACCCCTGATAACAATTTTATGTTCAGATTTTACTTTATATTTTATAAACGCCGTTGAACAGCCGATCCAATTTTGTGTTTACGACTAACAATGTTCAACTTCTTGGCCTAGCAATTCTACCCAGTACTTAGAAGTCAAGGTAACTCCTGAATCAAGTATTAGGACTAGATAACACCTGATATAAACATTGAACAAGCTTTCGTGAAGAACTTTTTGATGGAATTAACCCGCATTTGCGTTGCATGAAGAAAACAACCACGAAACCCTCCCACGGTTAGCCACGCGGCAAGAGAATTTTAACCCATGATCGGTCTTCCACTGATGATATACTGCTCCCCGTGCGAGTCGAGAACAGAATTCGTATCAACCAGTTACAGCTGGGATTAGAACCTGGGTCACGTCAATGGTAGACGAACACTACTTCAAGATTTTAGCACTTGAGCTCCAAGCATCAAATCAGAAAAGTAATATTGCTTGAAATTCTACATGCAAAGCTGAATACATGACGCAATTTATGAATTTGGACTGATATTTTTTTTATAGTATTAAATTTCAATTACTGACAGAAGTTGTTTGACAAACTTTGATTCAGCGTTTCAACCCCAACGAGTAAACTTTTGTGACAACAACTTTTTTTTCCTGTCACAAATTAAACATAGTAATTGTTATCGCACTTCAGAGCATTAAATGAATTAATTACTTTAAAATATAAAATTTAGTATAAAATCCAAATACGAAGAATCAAGGTAGAATGTGTCTGTTCACTTGTTCTAAACATAAATGTACGAAAGCTCTCGCTATTATTAAATTGAAACTGTCCTTTAAAAGAGTAAAAATTATTAACAAGTGTAGTAAATAAGTTTAAACGCAATAAATGTTTAAAGCAATATTGCTAATTACAAGACTAGCACGCGTGCCTTTAACTTGGAGGCATAATTAAAATATAGATAAATTAGCCATGTATTTCTTCGAGTTAAAATGCTAAAAAATTTATAATAATTAAAATACAGATATAAATACAATTTAATTGTCATTTCATATCAAATTTAATAGTTGTAAAATGAAAGGAGACAATGCCTAATTACAAAACTGCAACTATTGAAAATTAAGATTTCTTTTAGTTTGCCTCCTCCAAGAAAAAGAAAAAAAACACTACTTAGATAATAATAAAAAAGAGCCTGTAAATAATTTTAAATTCAGAAAATTAGAGATAATTTTTTAACAAATTTGTGAAAACAGAATTTTACTAAAAAGTCTGAACAGACCACTAATTTTTGGAATTTTATAATAAACTAAAAAAAAATTTAAAAAAACTTTTTTTTTTCTTTAAATTTTGGAATACAAGACCTAACTTTATGAAATTATGAGTAGATTTTTCTCAATTTCACAAAAACGGGAATTTTACAACACGTCTCAGTCCTGCAATAATTGTTTCTGTATATAAGTAGAAACACTGTTGTAAACACAAAAAAGGGGGGTGGGTGTAGGTACGATTCCCCAGCACATTTCTACTGATTCATATGTGGTGGTAAAAACATTTCTTGTTGTAGGAAGCCCAGGATCGACCTTGACGGAATTTCAAGTTTCTAAGAAAGGGCTTAGGGGAACCGGAAGTGGGGAGGCAGGAATGCTCCATAAAAAAAGGTGAGGGGTGCCTGCTGTGATCTATTTCTGAGTTTCCTTCTACTATTGTATTTCAATAATTCAAATACTTTCACTCTTTGTGCACAAAGAGAGCTAAGCTAAATGGCTTTTTTTAACCTTAATTTTAAAAAACAACTTTCTTTAAACTACATTAATTTATTTAAGTATCATATTTATGTAAGAATCATATTCATTTAATTTGCAAAATAAGAGAATTAAAAATAAGACCCATACTCCCCCTTTCATATTACACATTAAATATTAAGTACTTAGACTCGGGTGTGGCCACAGAATTTCCCCTTATGGAACATTACAAATTAACTACTTTAACGACGGGTTTCCCCCCGTTATCTGCCAGTCGGTGGTTGTTGGTCAGAGACTCGATAATTTCATTCAAGAACAACATGCAAATTAACTAAAAATCATTGTTTTTCCGATCAAAATTATTAATTATCGAAAACTATTGACACAATTATGTCAAATTCCAGTTTAAAAAAAATGAAATAAATAAAACATCGAATCAAGAAAAGAAAAAAAAATTTTAACTAGTAGATAATTTAAAGATATACATACATCATTTAAAATCTTTAGCTAACTCAAGCTTCAACACATGCGGAAACAACCATTTCAACAAGCAAGTCTTGATAGATCATAAATACGATATTGATTAAATTACATATCATTTAACATTTATCAGTCAATTGATTCACTTAAAAACTCCTCTGAAGTTATAAATATTTGATGAGTGAGATTTAATGAAAGATAAGTGAAAATTACACCAGTTTAAGATTTAAGAAAAAAAGTAAAATTTGCAGATAGGAGAATATCACTTTTCTTTTAAATCATTACAATCAAATGTCATAGTGTTTAATACTTTGTACAGTTTGCTTATCAGTGATAAATAAACTCTTGAGAAAAATAGTAATTTTTTTGAAGAAGCATTCGTTATCTACTACTTACAGTAGTTTACAAATACTATTTCTATAAAAAACTGCAATTTGAAATCGTAATTTTGAATAATAGTTTACAAATATCGAATCAAGATGCACCGATTTTATTTTATTTAAATTACAAATTTATTGCGGTGGTTAAGAGTTAAAGTTTAAATTTCAAAGTCACGATTCAGATTAATAATCATAAAAATGAGATAGTCAAAATAAAATTTACAATATTTTCGTCAAGAAAAAAGAAAACATGTACGCAAAATTTATGCATGGATAACAACCCGAATTCACTCTTCAGCTATAAAATAATTCAAATCGATAAAATACATTTTGTTTTAATTAGCATCCGGTTAAATGTAAACATTATACATTTATAAACGATATTAAAATCCAACGTTACACAGTAACAAACCCTCAATTTAAAATTGTGAAAAAATTAATAAAATCTACTTCATTAACATAATTAACCTCCTCAGGAAAGTACTCCTACAGTACACATACATCAATCAAACGCTACAAAATTTAGAAACAGCTACACACTTGTCAGCAATAAGACAAACTTTATGACACTTATTAAAAGTTTTAATTGTTAATAGTTGAATAAATATTTCAGTAATTGTACTTGTTTAAGTTATTTAAATTTTAAACAAAAAAAAAAGGAAAGATTACAAATTTTATGGCTTACCTTTCCTGTAGCTTTTTTATATCGAGTAATAGCTAAATCCATCAGCTTCTTCACTGGTAAATCACCTTTCCCACATGGCACTATGACACGAACAGATCCAAAATTCACCGTCACTTTCATCTTCCCCCTTTCTTCCAACTTCCTAATGACGTCACTCTATCATTACCTTTCACCCACACCCCCACATCCGGAAAAACTAAAGATCCATAAAATAAAGATTTGGAAGAAAAAAATAGAAAGGAATACTGCAGTATTCTACAAATCTTTTTTCACATAGTTTCGGTATCTAGAGGCTATTCGCGCCTCACTAACGAATGCAGTCAGACGCCACAAGAGCAACAAAAAAAAAACCGTGCCTTCAGCTATACGAAGAAACTATTCACACAAATCTGCTTTAAATAATAAGAAAAGTTAGATAAAGCTCTTCATCCACAATGAAAAGTTTGTGGGCTTTCAAGCTCCATTTGATGCTATGTTACTCTTCCCATCTTGAGAAGAGTTTCAAGGTAAATTATAATTTACTCACGAAGGAAAAAGTACGTGGAATTATTTTTGAAACTTTAATCTCGTCTGATCAAATGAATGAAATCGTCTGCTAAAAGAAAAGCAATCGATACCTATAACGGGATTAATTCTTATAAAGGGTGCCAAATCAGAATAAAATTTACTATTTTAAATAAACTACAAGACTCTTTTTGTTTAGTGTTACTTGATTCAAAACACATCTTTGCAAAAATAGTTAATATAAAAGATAACTGATATCGTCTGGTTCAGAAATAAATTGTCAGAATTCTAAAATTGTTGTAATTCAACTTAGGAATGAGTTGCAATGCAATTTTGAAATTAATTAAAATGCAACCTTAGAATTACTTGGAATTCAACATCAATTTCATTTGAACTTCAACTTTGGTACTAGTTTAAATGCTGGAGGCAGAGGATAAATTATTACAAATACGTTTTGAGACTAAATAGAGGTAGAATCGTTTGACTCGTGTAAATTACCAAAACAATTATTGAACTTGCGACTAATTATCCACAAAATGGCATAAACTAACTGCAGAGTAGTAATTTTATAACTTATATTAGTCAGATGTTTTCCAAATTAAATCCAAGGTAAATGTTGAATTGAATAAATGTTGATCACACATCATACACAAAAAGATCACAAACCGTAAACAACGTTTCAATCCACGGTTCCGTATGAGATGATTTGTCGTGCTAGAACCAATATCTTGATCGAGAAATTTACACTTGGAAAGTAAAAATCCAATAAAAAGTCACACTAGACCACACTACACTGATTCGATGTAACGTAGAATGCCTAGCGGCAGCAGCTTATCCAAAGAGAAAAACGTTCAACTTCATTGAAAACTCTTTTGTTACATTGGAACTGAGAGGGAATAATGCCGCACATAACTTTTTTAGAAGTTTTCGAACTTCAGGGAAGCGGCGCGGTTTGGATTTCGGAAACACAAGGAGGTAAGGTTGCCGTAAATTGAAAGTTGGGATAAAGAAGAAAAAACACGCCAAGTGGTAATCATTATAGCGCCAAAATTTGAACTGTTATCACTTCGTCACCTGAGAAAAAAGATAGTACATCTTTTGTAAATATTCCAACCCGCGTTTATTGAGAAATTTATCGATTAAAAGAAAACAATTCAAGATTTAATTCTTGGGTATATATTTTTGATTGATTCAGTATATAATATATTATATAATATCATTTATTATATAATAGAGAAAATTTAGTTTTAAATCCTGCAAATATATTAATTTTTTTTTTAAAAATTAAAACTAAATTATAATTGTTTGTTACTATTTAATGCTCAGTTTTCATTTTTATGTAGTTAAAATACTGATGAAAATGACAACCGGATCATGCCTTCTCACAGGACAGATAAATCACATGATATGATCCAGTTTTCTTACTTGAAGTTCAATTTCTTTGGTTCATGAACATAAAATTGATGAAGTTGTAGCGTATCTACCACTACAAAATTACAACTACGATTCACTAGTATATAAGACATGTTAACTCGACTCCATGTCGGGGTACCTTTTCATAGATGAAGGTTGACATTGTGAATATCTACTCTCCCCACAAAGTTATATAAGTAATGTTTATTTCTGTAAATATTTCTTTACATATAATTTAAAGGAAATTTATTATAGCCAGTAACATTTATCATTCTTTCTTTGTATTCTCGACAATTATTATGTTTCTGGCTTAAGTAATGAATCCAAGTTAAAGGCACAACGCTAAAAGCAGTGTTATGAAGTATTGCTATAATGTAACTTAGTAACGTAACATTTTATGATCAGTATCCAAACTTGTTAACTGTTTTACAATTATAAAGCTGTAAATAAGTTCTATTTACTTTTATTATAAGCTTTGGGTGAAACTATGTCCAGTCAATACAAAATGGTAAAACATTATTACGAATTAAACTTTCGTGTTAATTCTAAATAATTTCTTGATGGAAAAAAATTTAGCGTGTTTTTATAGTAACCAAAAATTGAATACTAATTTCAAAAACAAAATTATATATGAAGCTGTAATGATAACCTAGCAAGTATAAGATTTACATTATATCTCAATAGAAACTGAATCTAAATCTGTAAAAAAAACGGCGACAATATAATAAAAGAGTTTAGTATCCTAAAATTGAATGCTTTTAAAAAAAATGGGGTGTAACAATCTATTTATTGCCAAGAAAAAAAACTGATTGTAGCAATCGTGAGGATTGGTGAATGAAGCGAGCAGGGGTTGAAAGAAGAAAGTTATATTTTTTGTGTTTTTCATGATTTTGACGCGTACTTTTGGAACCAGAGTAGAGAGCAAATTTTGTTTCGTCATTTTAATAAATAACATACTGCAGAAAATTTAATTACAAAAATTATAACAGCTTAATACTAGCGTCAAATAAAATTAAAAAGATTTATGATATTATTTGAATTAAATCTTTAATTCAAATAAAATTAAATAGCTTTCCAACTTTTGAAGAATAATTAAATTTGGTTTATAACTGCCTTACAGTAAGCAGAAACATCTCTATTGCTTTCGTAAATCCCTTTTTAAATCAAATTTATATATACATGAATCACATAAAAAATTAAAATATATTAAATTATGTGAAACTAAACGAGAGCAGGAACTATATACGCGTTTAATTTTTGCAAAGCAAGAGTCAATAATGCAAAACTTGTCTTTGAGTATAATCTTTGATTTAATAAGATACCCATCTTTTCATTGGAAAGACTTTTCTCAGTCAATAGGCGGCGCTGTTGATTCTAACAGTAGCAAAATTAAGTATAATTATAACATGGGCTGCATGCTACAAAATCATGTTTTTTAATTATACATAACTAGCAATCTAAATTTAAATTCTTTACCGAGAATTGTTAAATATACCGTAGTGTTTTATTTTGAGTTCTTCTCTGGGTTATTAAAAATGCTATAAAAAGTTAAAACTGGAAAATAAAAGTTTCGTTCTTTTTAACGATCATGCATTTTAAATAATTATGAATTTGAGGGATAAATAAAATTGTTTATTTATGTTTTCTAATGTATTTGTTTTTAATTAGAAATGTATATTTGCACAAATTTCATAACGTTTCAATCGTAAAACAAAGTACATATGTTCTTATGAATGCATCAATCATTTTAATTTTTATTGATTACTTTATAATTGAAATTTTATATTTGCTTGCTTATGCAGACAACAAACATGCATTCTTTTTATTTCTTAAATTTTAAATTTATTCCGTAACTCAATTTGTTCGATTACGTTGGCGAAGTATCACACCAACTCTTAGTGTATTACAAAAGGGGGGGGGGAGTACTGATTTATCTTTTCAACAATCGTCTATTGTTTGATAAACGATAAAATCTTTGTCATTTAATAGTTTATTTATGATATATCTTTTCAAAAGAATTTTTTTTTGTGTATACCTCTGGGTTCTCCAATTCATCAATCGCTTATACATTATGATAAACCTTTTCTCAACATTTTTGCTCCCGAAATCTACAACAATATATTTGCTGTGCGTTAGATAATTTAGGTAAAGAAATTCAGTGGCAGGAGGAGTATAATAACAATTTATTTTAGCATAAATTACTAAGTTTTATTTATTATTATTATAGAATTGTTAAAAATTGCAATACAAATATTACTTTCGGACAAGATGAAGTTAACCACGTTTACTTCTTCATTCATATCGTGTTCACATTAATTATCCTGTCATTTATTCACTCCTGGAATTTATTCACTCCTGGAGTTGATATTGTTCTTTATGGCAAATAATTTCACTCAAGTTCAACTCCCAATGAGCCAATATATTGGTCCTTGGCCACCATTGGTCAAACAAAAATATAAATCCTTACCGAGGTGTGTATTTTAAGTGCAACAACATTAGCAAAGTCTTCTATCATTATTATTTATCATCATTAAAGCCAGCAGTTTTTGTACCACTTTTTAATTCCTCCATTGGCACAAAAAATAAGATATTCTTGCATTTGAATTTGAGCTTACTGAATATGTTCGTTGTCAGATCCTCCACATAACTCGATATTGTCCTAACAGGCGAACTGATATTCGGAATAACATTACATGAAACTAAAGTAAGCAGTAAGTAAATGCATACAAAAGACTTTCAAGATATTTTTCAATGCGTTACGTTAGCTATATATGCTTCAAAGCACATGTGCGAAAATTTCCTTGTGAATTGCAGTATCGCTATGGGGAAAAAAGCATTACGATTAACTTAATGCAAATTAAGCAAAAATTTCTCAATTACTTAACACATTCACCCTCGTAAAATGCATTTTCTTCTATTTTTTTTTTATTTTTGGCTATCATTTAACTAACACGCTTAAGACAATTTACTTACTGTAAAAACTAACGATTGCTAGTAATTTAGTTCCGATTTTGATTTATTAAATTTGCCGCTCAGAAATGGCATCCAATCCAAAATACATACTTTGTACTGCATTTTGTATCATAAAGTATATTAGTTCCATTCTTCCATACTATTACGCTGTCATAGCTCGTATGACAAACTGCCACATTTAAAACTTCTGTTTTTATTAAAAACAAGAAACAGATTTCATCTTCACCGTTTTCCCGTATAAACTTTGAAGACTCGCCATTTCGTGCTCATTCAAAGACAAAACACTTCTAAAATGAGTAGCTTCTGCGTAACTAAAATTTATCACCGAACACTTCTTGTGATCCGAGTCGCACAGCAACCATTGAGATTAAGAACTTGCTTTACTTTTATTAATTAACTTCCTAACAGCTTGCTTAAAAGCTGTTATTACGAAGCCGACTGTTCTTTTGCATAAGTGGTTAAAAATAAAAACTGCGTACAAGATTCAACTTCTGAAAAAGAACTAACACCCTTTTTATTTTATCGAAAATGGTAATTAATAATAGTTATTCAACTTTTGAAAATACCTTTGAGAAACTAAGAACGAAGTGAATATTTAACTTTTTTTTTTTTTTTTAGAAAAAACCTTTCAAAAAATATAAACAGCATCCTCAATGTTTTATTTTTTATTTCTTTTTACTGTAATACACACTCATCACTGTTCATCTTCGCTCAGTTTTTTTTTTTTTTACTTTTTTAACACTCCAGAAAAAAAAAGACCTTTTGAATGTCTGTAAAAATCCAAGCCCTTTAATAATTAAAGACTAATAATCTTAGATAAAGAAATATCTAAAATAATTTAACCAATCCTGAGTATCAAAAGGGAAATCTATAATCAATCTACGACAACTATTAAAAACATTAGGTCAAAAGTTATCTGATCCCTAGGCTGTTTTTCAAAGGTTCCATCGTAATATGAAATGATGTTTTTTTGCGAATGATATGATATTTTTATAACTGGTGTGAGTTTGAAACTGACTCAAGACAGTCAGGTCAAGTTTAGCTTATCGAAAGCTAGAGCTGCCTACTTTTATTTTGAAGATGGCGCAAAATGTCAATATGGAGAAAAGCCACAGTTTTGTAAAAATAAAAAGCTTTTGTGGTCGAATTTTTAATATTTAAAAACTTACTCCAATACTGCATTATCTGGGCTCATAAAAATTTGTAGAAACAGAGAAAAAGGCAGTGATTTTAATAATGTTCATCTAGTTGTGAAAATGTCTCGAAATTGGCTATTTTTGAAAAAGTTTAATAACTTTTGAAATATTTAAATATTTTGTCCGCTCTAAAGCCCAGATCATTCTTCATGGAAAGATGAAGTTAGAAATCATCGCTTTGTTTCAAATGTAAAGCACTTAAATTGTGACTTTTTTTTAAATTTTCTTTGACGATAGAGCTTCGAAAAACCCTCTTAACTGTAAGGAAATGGTAAAGGGGTCAGCAAAAACAGGATAATAGCGAAAAATCATTAATTCTTATATCTTATAGAAAATGCGACAAAAAAAGAAGNAAAAAAAAAAAAAAAAAGACA